ATGCAACTTAATAGGGGTTTTTACATGTAAACCAGTATAATGCAACTTAATAGGGTTTTTTTCATGTAAACCAGTATAATGCAACTTAATAGGGATTTTTCCATGTAAACCAGTACAATGCAACTTAATAGGGATTTTTCCATGTAAACCAGTATAATGCAACTTAATAGGGTTTTTTTCATGTAAACCAGTATAATGCAACTTAATAGGGATTTTTCCATGTAAACCAGTATAATGCAACTTAATAGGGGTTTTTACATGTAAACCAGTATAATGCAACTTAATAGGGTTTTTTCCATGTAAACCAGTATAATGCAACTTAATAGGGTTTTTTTCATGTAAACCAGTATAATGCAACTTAATGGGGATTTTTCCATGTAAACCAGTATTATGCAACTTAATAGGGATTTTTCCATGTAAACCAGTATAATGCAACTTAATAGGGTTTTTTTCATGTTAACCAGTATAATGCAACTTAATAGGGTTTTTTTCATGTAAACCAGTATAATGCAACTTAATAGGGTTTTTTCATGTATAATGCAACCTAATAGGTTGCATTATACCACCAGACCAAGACCCAAACGAAGACTCAGACCACCACCAGATAATGACCACAGACCAGGTTTCCTTAGTTACAGGAACCAAATTGTTTCAGCGGTGAGGGGATTTTTCAGTTTCAAGGACACTTTCAATACATTCAGTAGTTTCAAGGATTTCAGCTGTTTAAGAATTTAACCAGTTTCAAGGATATCAGGAGGTTCAAGGATTTCAGGAGTTTCCACACTTTCAACAGTTTCCAGGTTTAAAAAAGTTTCAAGGATTTCAGGAGTTTCAATGTTTCAACAGTTTCAAGGATTTCAGGAGTTTAAAGGTTTCAACAATTTCAAGGACTTCAGGAGTTTCAAATATCTATCAAGTATTTTAACAGTTTCAAGGCTTTTTAAAGGATTTCAAGGATTTTTTTTAGCAGATTTCCACATTAGATCTGTTCCGCAGTCAATCGCAATGGCTTCAGCCATTGCAAGTTTCTAGTTATTTGTGTCTTTTTATTTGTTATATTTCCCTGTTTTAGCATCCCATGACACGCCATAAGAGCATACTTACATTACCAAATGTATCAGTCGTATGTATGCAAGATACCTCTTCGGTTACTTCCTTGAATAGTAGTCTTTTCGCGTGACACTGCAGCAGTCACGCAGAGTAAATGCACCTGGCGACGTGTCCTGCAGGATTTGAGCTAATGCTACTAAACGCTGTGGTATAATACGAGTCATAAAGAAATCCGAGCCACTATCATGATGCATAACCAGCACACTCATGCCCTTCGTCCATGACAGCTACAAGCTGTGTTACCGTCGCACGACAATGACGCAATACCCTCTGCAAATGGCCAGAATGGAAAGTGGTTGTATCATAGTAATAAGTACACAACTGTTCTTTTAATTTCGAAGATTCTAACAATAATGGGATTTCCAATGTCTAGAGGAAAATAGACAGTAGCAAGTACAACATATTCGATCCACAGAGTGACAGTCTTCCATGGTGACAGTACACACTTTTTATTATTGTTTCAAACGGATCTGTAAAACAAGTTAGTCAGATGAAAATTACACACGTGATTCACAATTAATAATACTCCTTCTCATTATTATTTCAAAGTACAATGAATTATTTAGTTTGCATGATATACGCCTGCCTTCTAATTGTTATTTCAAACCTAACTTAATTTTTTAATTAATTCAGTGTTTGATAAATACGGTTACAACATTTCAAAGTAAAATTAAATATTCGGAAATAAAAACACTAATCTGCATTCATAGTAATCAGTTATTACAGGCTCATATTGTATTTACTACAGACCATAGCCATAATGGGAGCCCCAGTCCAGCTGATCCACTTCGGGTTTTTCAGTTCTCTCTGCAGTCTCGGGACCAGCCACAGCCGGGTTTAGAGCGAAACGGAGTGAGCAGTGACCGTGAGTAGTGCGTCTCTGTGCTGCAGGGGCTAATGTGGGGCTAATGTGGGCGCATGGACACGCTCTTGAGAGGAGCTGACATTTTTTATCACCTACACAGTCTTATATTATTTTCTACAGCATTGACTCTTTTCCCATTTCCTGTCATGTGCTATCGACGCAAGAGGATTGAAGTTGCCAGCAGTGGTCTATATTTGCCGAGGGAAACCAATACAAGGGCTGGCTGTCTCGCTGGAGTGCGGTATTATTAGCACTCCAGACAACTGTCTCTGGTATGTACAGCGTATAACTCGCAGGCGTGGAACTTCTCTTGCTGCTACAAAACACAACATTTGACATGATATTCACGGCTCTTGGTAAGGGTTTTGTCCACACGCTGATGGGAGGGCGAGGTCAAGTGTCACACTCTAGTGAATTAGGGTAACGCGGCTACGAGCGCTCTTCCGCCAGTCAGAAAGAAAACAGGATCTGACCTCCAAAAACAGTTCTTACTATACAACATGTCTATTTAAAGGGCTCTTTAAACCAAGCAGGAAGTTTAACTGCGTGTGCTTTCGTTTTGATTGCACATTATTGACTTAAGCGCCACTACTACAGAACATTGAACAGTATTGACGTCAGACTTTGCGCTGGCCTGTCAGAGGAGATATTTCAGGCGGGGCAGAGCTGTCACTTTGAGTCTGGACAGGTCAAGCCGTCTGTTTTACGACTTGGCAATGCCTATCATTACCAAAGTAATCGCTCAGTAGTTTTAACAGCGCAAAAATCTTTTGGACTAAAGGCTTAAAATTGTGGCAGGGTTGGTGTAGTCCTGATGGTAGCCGAGTAGACGCGTCATTATTACGTCATGTAGATTAAGTTGTGCAATGAGCAGGACAAACATGTTCATTATTGGCTTGTAGTTAAAGGTGTGAATGATTAGTGTATGATTCTCAAAGCTGTGGCACCTAACTTTCAAACCACAAAAATTGATTAAATTCGTTCCTCGTTCTCAAAACAGTTTGGTTACATGTTTTCATCGATGTATTTTTGTCACTTTAGATCAGCTTTTGCAGACACTGTAAAGTGAAAACTCAGAAAGTCTCTCTTACTCCAATATAGGCAAAAAATATGTTTTCTAATCCAATGAAGACCGCATGCTGAGGTTTTATCTGTTAGGCGAAAGAAAATAATAAAACATTTGCATCTTACAACCCTATTTTTTTTGCAATGGTTTCTTGTCTTCCATTTTTCAAACTAAAGCTGGCCTTTATACCATTTATGTAGCACCTGGAAAAAGCTGGGACGTATGTAGCAACTGGCAATGTAGGACAGCCAGAGAGATTGGTGTATGAGTAACATTTGCAACAGTAACAAAACAATACTGTATATGGTCTTGAACTCAGCATATATTTTTCTCTTTTCTTTCACAGATCATCTTTCACCATTTGCTTTAAAACAGTACTATAATTACATACTTTCAATATATCCTTTACCAAATAATACTGAGCTCCCATGCTGGCAGACAGTCACTCCCCACTTCACATCTTTAGTCATGCCTGCTTCAAATCGCTTCAGGACACAGACACCTGCTCTGAAAAGGGGGAGCCAGAAGGCGAGAAGCACCAGGAGCCAAACCGCTTGTAAACCCAGCGGCAGGCCTGCGAAAAGAGCATGGGATGCACTAGCTGAACCCAAAGTGACTGCTATAACGGGAAAGAACCCACGGGGAAGAAAGCTGGACAGAGCTAAGGTGAATTCAAGAGGGAATAGCAAACCTCTTGATAAACAACCCAATGATACACCTGCAAAGGGTAACCTGGGGAGACGGAAGTCACTACGGGGGACGCAAACAGCTATAATAGTCAGCCAGATATCAAAACCAGCTACAAGAGGAGGACAAAAGAGGAACTCCGGAAGAGCTGCAGCCTTACAAGCAAAGTCATTAGGCACAGAACGCAAAGGGAGTAGCAATAACTGTTCGACTTGGGAAGAAGACACTCAAACGCTTGACGAATATGCGGCTGAGGACATTCCTATTTCGCTGAAAACAACTGGCGAACTCCAAGCACGGGTCAAAGATTGCAGCAATGCAAAAGAGGCCAGCCCGTTAAAAGCGGACACCCCGCCTCGCACCGACGCACTGGACGATTGTTTGCCAGGCTGTAGCGAGAGCACTGTGGCCACCAGGGACAAATCGGTGAGTGGTGAGAGTAATGATAAGAAATACACGGCTGCTGATGTGATGAGCGAGAACTATGGACAGCCATGGCTTTTCGAGGACGGAGAGAAAGATGGCTCGTTGGAGGCCCTTGCAAAACAGAGCGCTCTTGTCATTGGACGGCATTGCATCAAAAGCCGGGAAAAGCGGTGCGAGCGTCAAACAACACCAGAGCGAGACGTGTCAGAGGAAAAGGAGAGCAAAGAAAATGTGGAAGAAGTTGTGGAAAATAAAGAGGAAGCATTTGATGTGGGAGATACAAAAGCAAAAGACAAACTTGTGGAGCCAACTCAAGTCGAGAACTACTATCTGGAGATGGATAAAGAAGACCAAAAAATGACGATTGAGGACGTGGCTAAACAAATACATGTTGATAGTACTTTGTCAATCACAGCCAAATCCAGGGAATCTAAGTCAAACCCAGAACATTTTAAACCAAAAGATCTTCCTTTTTCTCTTTCCAGAGAGTCTCCTGTCTCCTCTTCAATTACCTCAGCTGGCACCAAAACCCTTACATCTCCAGAAGATTGCATTGTGGCTAATATAGTAACACAGCTTTGCAGCCAAGTAAATACAGAGATTTTGAATGCGTCTATTCCTACTTCTACAGTGGTAAGAAGCACACCGGTTATTATCTGTAACAAATCTGTCGGTTCAAAGGGCCTCAGGGAACCACCGCAAATGCTTGACTTGGAGATCCCGGGGATGGTCAGAGAAGCCAAAGATTGCAAGACCTATCTAGAAAGCATCACCCATTCAAAACAGCCCCAGCTTTCATCATCATTGCCTTTAAATTCACTTCCAGATCAACATCCAGCACCAAACATGTCAAGCCCTATTCTCGACAGCAGCTCCATATTCTCATACAGCTCTGAAAGCACGCGCTCCTCTATGTCCTTTGACACCGAATCGAGCCCGGAGTTGGGATGTGAGGAGCTTCCGGGCAGCAGAGAGGTTTCTAAGAGGAAGGAGCACAAGAAGAGGAGCAGGTGTGGGACATGCGAGCCCTGCCTGAGGAAGGTCAGCTGCGGCCGCTGTAGCTGCTGCCTCAACCGCCGCACGGGCCATCAGATCTGCAAGCTGAGGAAGTGCGTGGAGCTACGTACAAGGCGCTCGAGTCCCCTGCTGTCTCCTGCAGCTAAGGTAGCGTACAGCTTGGTTTGGTAGCTACATTTATGGTTGAAATTTTACACAGTTGGGTAGAAAGCCATTCATTGTCATATAGATGTGTTTCCTGTTCAGTTTTCAATAGTGTGTAGTTCCCCTTTAACATTCATGACAGCCTGGAGTCTTGTGGTAGTTGAGGTTGAGGTTCTTTATCTTCTCTAATACTTCGTACAAAAGCCTTCAGTTCCCGTAAATTCCCGGGCCGCCTTTCATGAACTGCACTTTTGAGATCGCCTCAACGCAGCTTTATGATTTTGTAATTTTAACAACTAAAATTACAAAATCATGTACTAAAACAACTCTATATGGCTGGTCAGGTAAACTTTCAAGTAAAACTGTATATACTTGATTGTACAGCATTTCTTGTGAAATACTTTGTTTAGCCAATAATTCAATATAATTGTGCTTAAAGATGTTTCTGAATTTGTTGGATGACTACACTTTAGACTAACCAGAACCAGCGGACTAAGAGCTGAGTAAGCATGTTTAAAAGCGTCTGTCAGAATGATTTTTGAAGTTTTTTTCTTTGATTCCTTAGTTTGGAAACTATATTCCCAGTATGGGAAATCTGTAAAGCTAAGATAAGATAAGATATACTTTATTGGTCTCACAAAGGAGAAATTTACAATTGTGACATTATCACTTTTAGTTTGCTTCTTTGTTTGTTTTTTTTGGACTCACAAAATACTACTTTCATTATATTTCTTGTGAGTTTTAGGGCATACTTACGAATATCAGGAAACCATATACCTGTTTGATAAAGTTGGAGCATTATCAGATCGCTTTTTTCCCAGCATTTTATTTGAGTATTGTCTGGTGGTTGGGGCTGGTGCCAGTTTTTTGTGAGCTGTGATATGGGACATGCAGACTGTCACACTTTTCCACGTGGTGTGGGTCGCCAGGGGTAGTGTGTTTGGATATGGGAGGCGGTGATACAAGACAAACATACCGAAGAGACTGCATGCTTTTTTAGCGCTGGGATAGTAACATTTGATCAAGGCGAGAGGTCAGTCAGGGTAAAAGATATGGTCAGACTTTGGAGCAGCATATTTCTGTCATAAAACGGAACTCCTTGTGTTTGAGGTTGTTTCAAGGACTTGGAAAGAATGCATGCGTGTTTGCGGCGTGTGTGTGTGTGTGTGTGTGTGAATTGTCATGAGAAAGTAATTATAGGCCATTGGAGTGGACACAGTGCTGCAGAGTGCAATCTACATTATCTTAAAGCTACCCAACTCTAAAACAGCAAAAAAATAACTATGCAATAAATTTGTACGCCAGTTTTCACATGTATGTATTTTGGCCTTTGTCCTTAGATCACCTTTTACAGACAGAAAAGTGAAAAGAGACCCTCAGTCAGCCAATCAGGTCTCAGCTCAAGGCATCAAATAGTTTAGGAAGTTTGTTGTTTATTAAATGTATAATATTGAAATTGCTGTTGATTTGCATAGAGTCCATACATTTACATATGGGCGGCACAGTGGCTGAGTGGATAGCAAGTTTGAGAGAGAAAAAGGGTTAGGCCATGCCTTTATTTTTTGCACTCTCAGTATATGTTGATATCTTTGTTGCGTTTAACAATTACCTGCAGACATACATAAAACACACTAAATCAATACTGCTTTTATAGTCACCACGAAATATTATTAACTTCATGCCCTGGCCATATGACCCCAGGTGAGTTGCAAGATGATCACAACAAAATTATAGCAGATGTTCAGTTAGAAGCAAAATATATTTTTTTATCAAGACTATAGTTTTAAGATATATTTTCTTCCTATTTAATTCATCATTCAATCACTTTTCTCTCACAATTAGCGTACCATGAAATCACTTTATACACTATCAACCATCATGTGAAGTGCAGATTAGGAGCGATTATATAACACCTACAAGCTTTGCTCCGACCTGTGGGCAAAGATTATGGCCCGCTCCGGGATTTACAAACATTCAGCTGCGCACTATTGTGGAATGTGGGTCAGCGAGGGGCCGGCGTGTTTAAAGTAAAGCATGCACAAAGAGGCCTTCTGAAATGGCACATGTCGCCGTTCTCTCACTCACTACTTAAAGGAGCAGTATGTAAAAATCTGGCCAAAAGTGGTACTGCAGTCACAGTCAATTATTTTGTCGTCCTCTCCCACTCTCCCTGACTGAGGTTGCCAGATACACACCAAATCCAGCAGCAAACACAAGGAATTATTTTATCAGTTGTTTGTCTGTCTCCATTCACATTGCCATGATAGCCGTGCTAATGTTGATTGAATGTTTTGAATGAATGTTTTTTATTTTTTTCATTTGGACATTTGAGATGAGAAAAACTAAATAAAAGCAATTTAATTATGCATAGATAATGCAAAATAAATAAGCAATTGATGTCCAAAATAGGAGTGGGAAGAATGGATGTTCGAACATATTTCTTCAGCGTATCAACATCAGGGTTTCCTCCAGAGGATACTCAATTTTATTTATACCCTTTTTTTTGGACATGTATAAGCCCCACATCAAATAGAGACTAACATAATTTTATTTAGGGTACATGTGGTCTCAAATTATTATTTTTACAAATAAGCTATAATCTGCAAAAAATGTCTTGATTATTGTCTTTTACTTGATTTTAAGCAATCTGTCATAAAATGTAATATTACTCAAGTAGATACTGCCCGGACTCGATCTCGGGTCGCTGAGATGTAAGCGCTATAAGAGGTGCGCCTTAATCATTAGGCCACCATTAGACACGATAGTTAATGCAGAGGGAAACGTAGTGAATCCGCTCACAAACTTTTATCCGCTGTTTCAATTTTTCAAAGGCGTCCTGATATAAATCCTCGTTTTAGTCTTTGTTTTATATATAGACTAAAACGTGTGTGTATATATATATATACGTTTTAGTCTATATATATATAGACTAAAACGTGTGTGTATATATATATATAAGGGTGCGTACCGATGTTCCCCGGGTCCGATGTTCCCCGGCTCCGATGTTCCCCCACTTCTATAGGCGGGGGAACATCGGACCCGGGGAACATCGGTACTTCGCGTATTAAAAAGTCCCGATGTTCCCCGGGTCCGATGTTCCCCCGCCAATAGAAGTGGGGGAACATCGGGACTTCAACAACAAGACTAGTCCCGCTGTTCCCCGCGTGCGCCCTTTGATGTTTGATGTTTCCTCCTCCATGAAAGATGGCATATGATCCGCGCCAACTTTTGTGAGAGAAAAAATACTAACTAGCCTAAGCCTATTTACTTTTCTTTTTCCCTCTCGCTCTTTGTGTGCTCATATTTCAGCTGATCGCAGCTTGAGTCTATGCAGGATATTTTTGGGCATGTTATGGGCATGTTATCTCCCCTTGCTCACTCTCCCATGGGCATCTATATTTGACAAGTCTGACTGAATAAAATGAGGACGATTGAAACTAGAGCTACTACATCTGTTAGCCTATAGTTTTTCCAAATACGTGGTTTTGCTGAGGGCACTGTGCTTTTACGCATAATGGACACGCATATGACGTCGTTTTTGTTGTAAAACTTGAATATGCTCTTTTAGTTTTAGAGATATTAATACATATTATTCTATTCAGAACGCGTGCGTCATTGTGCATTGTTGTCCTGCCTTACGTGTCACTCACAGTTAAAATGTAAATAACCAATTCAAACATAGCATTTTTACAACTTGAACTTTAAGAAAAAAATGATTAAAGGAATCAGTGTAAAATAAGATCGGAAAAGCTCAATTCATGATTGTTTAATTAGGTTTCCCATTTTTAAATACAATTGGAAACGCTCAGAATTCAAAAATATTGAAAAGTTTATTGGCTCCGCAGTGGGGGGAATAATAATAATAATAATTATAATAATAATATAATCCCCTGAGCATCATCACGTTCCTAGTTGCTTCAAATATAGTCCTGTTTATTGGCTGAACAATTTTGTCCAATATCATATCACACAGCGTGAAGCTCGTTCCCGAGAACAACCAGCTATTCCTCGTCTTAAAGATTGACAACGCTCTCAAAGCATTCACAACAGAGCAGCCTTTTTAATTTTAATTTTAAGAAAGTTCAGCGTGAACTTTGAGGTAGAGTAGCCAGAGGCCCGGGCCCGTAGGTCCCAGAGGAGGAGAGCGCGGTCAGGCCAGGCTCGCCTTGCACTGATGAGGTAAACTCTAGGCCTGTGTGAGACACACTGTGGGCCTCATGTATGAAACCTGCGTACGGCCAAATCAGGGTGTAAATGAGGCGTACGCAAAATATTACACTTTATCTATCCGCATTTATCTATCTGGACGTGAGCGTACAATACGCAAAAAATGTACGCCAGGTCTGGAGGTGGTGTAAATCTATACGCTGAACTCAACCTTCGGCACAACACGCCAAAACACGCATGAAATTCAAGATATGGACAACAATAAACATATTCCCTCTGGCAAAATTATCTGATGTGTTTTCATTGAGGATCATGTTTCAAAATTTGAATTTGCGCATCAGAAAAAGTCTAATGGAAACACGCAAACTTCGAATAAATCACAGCTCATGATGAGGACCCTCTATTAAATCTGACTTGTGTGTGTATTATTTTGATCTGTATGTTTTTAAAATGTGAAGCGCTTTGTGATCCTGGACAGTCAAAGGCTCTATATAAATACACTTTACGCAACAGGGATGTGTGACCCGTCTATTGTTGTGGCAGGCTCTGCGCTGCGTAATTACGCACGGCTATTTGTATTCCTCATTCACATCTGGTAAAGCAATGTGTTATTTCATTAGATTTGTGTAAGCCTCACACAGACACACACCCCAATAACGCATCGATGGTATTGCTCACTCACAAATGTCTCACTGCCCTGTCCAGAGTGCGCAGCGAGTGCCGTGAGAGGTCGCGCCACATGTGCAGAAGTTTTGGCTCCAGAGTTTCTTTGTGAAATCTGGACCGCAAACGCTCTCTGAAGTGTACAGCGCTTCAATGCGCACTTCTACCCCGAGCCAGGCTGTGTCCAAGACGCTGCA